CCCACCAATAAAGACAAAACACAACAAAATTCTAGTCGGAAAATGAAGCCCCAAAATACTCACCCTGAGGGCAAGGCCGGCTATGCTCCTCGATAGAGTGAGATCGTGTAGCTCTCTAAGGGTCTCGCCTTCCACGTCAGAGCATAGAGGGCCGAGGGTGGTGACTATGTTCTCCATATTCTTCAACAGATCATGATCCATAGGGATCGCAATAGTCCTCGTAGACCCTTCCAACCTCACCTCGAGTTGGGTAAACCCCTCCTTCATCATCCTCAATTCAGCGGAGTCGACATCTAAACCTGTCTCATAATCATCTTCGGCAACACCTTTATTTATCCCATCAGACGGCAAAGAAATATTGTCGGCTAGTTGCGAAGTCGACGATCCCTCTTTTCATGAAGTATCACAAACCCTAACGGTTGACCCTTCGACTCCCATCATCGTAGAAGGAAGGGATGCGCCCTCAACAACTTCGACCGACCTCGAAACCTCAGACGCCAGCTTGACGTCATCTTCAAGAACTATAGTCGCCGTTTCATGTAGGGTGAAATCATACATCACAGAATCTGCGACCCGAACAACCCCGTCGCTAACGTCCACTGACTTCCTCTTACGGGGCACTAAATACCCGTCACTTGGTAATGATTCCTCCTTGTCCACAAGACGGTACAAGAGGTAAGTCGGAGGCTCCGCTGTCGGAATATTCGCAAATGGAGAATAAATTGAGACTGCAGTGGCATTAGATGGGACTGAAAAGAGAGCATACCTAGCCGCAATCGTAGAGGGGGCAGAAGCCGAAGGGGAAGCAGCTTTCCTCTTACGGAATGCAGGTAGGGGAGCTTTCGGCCTCCTCTAAGGCCCTCGGGCTGGAAATGAAAGAGGCGCAAAAGAAAAGAAGATCAGCCATAGTATAAGAGGTAAGTGACTAAGAGGCCAAAACGAAGAAACTCAGCGGTAAGGGAGGGAGCAGGCCTGAACTTCTTAAAAAAACCCGACCACTCATGAATTCCCACAATGTGAGGGAGGAGCCAACCAACCCAATCAGAAATGTCCCCGACCAAATGAGGGGGCAGAGTATTTTTTGCATAAGAGAGGAGTAAGAGATCAGAACCCACGACTAAGCAAGTAAATCAAATGCCTCAACTAAGAGAATATAGACACTTACGAGTGCAATTCCAAGTTTCGAGGAAGCCATCTCCATTGGCCACCACGTCTTCGGTTCTAACGAAGAAATAAATTGTGCTAGAACTGATGGTTCACCTTGTCGTCCATCTTCACCACCAGTCACTTGCCCCCTCGGTGGCGAAGGTTTATCATTGTCCCCCTATAGAAACTAGGGGGAAAGAGATGCATCAAATGCCAAAGTGTGATCTCGACCCCGGCCAATTGCGCAAACTTAGTAAGCATCCTAATGAGCTTGTAGATTTACGGTGAGAGCTGAGCTAGGAAAACGCCATAGAAACAACAAAACTCCTCCGCCAATGGGAGAAGGGGAAGAGTGTAGCTGACATGGAAGGGTAAGGCGTAGAATGCACAATATCCAGGGCAGTGGACCTGTACCATATCCCGCTCTGCAGGGACCAACTTGATGCGAGCGGGAATGTCGAATTTGGCCCTAAGCTCTTATAAATCGGCCTCCTTCATCGCCGACTCGGAGACCTCGGGCTTAGCCTAAGGCGCCTTTGTAAAATCAGACCTGACTATCCCACCACGAGGAACTATCTCCTCCATCGTAGGAAGTCCTCATCCTCTACAGTAACAGAGACGCCCTCCGCGTGAGGAGGAAAAGCCATCGCCAAGGGGACCGGGTTATTTTCCTTGCTGGGACCAGAAGATACGTTAACCTTAGTTCTAAATAAAGGGAGGATATTCAAGCAATGAAAAGTTAAGATCAACGGGGATCGCTAGAGTAGGAGAAGAAGATAACAATAGAATAAGAAGAAGAGGGCACAAGGTTTCAATATGGGAAATCTGTAAAACACGAGTGTGTGCCCTCACATCCCTATATATAAGAATTCAGGCATCGAAACCAAGAATTATGCCATCATTACCTAGCACCAGTATCGGAGTGGCAGATCCAATCAATAGACGAACGCGAAATGATGCAAAGCATTGGGAAAACGGACCATAATGACACATGACGTCATGACGTCACTTTGATCCAGAAATGACGTAACTCCAAAAGTTGTGGCTGACAAAAGGCAACATTGCCAGCTCATCTCAAACATCGCGACCCGACCCACTCGTTCAATCTTCTCGACCACGACAAACAGAGTCCTCTCATCAATGTCGTCTGTGTCCGGCCTCAATAAGCGGAGGAACTAACTGTATAGGTCAAAACCTGCCCTAAAGTATTTAAGACGATAACGCTAAAGGAAGAGTCTTCAAGCTGTCATCAATCGAGGTCGACCAGGAAGCAACGAGATTCATGGTTGAGACGTCAACAATGGTCGAAGTCGAGCACCGTTGACAGAGCAGTAATGACTAGTTTTCAAAATAGGATATTAAAGAGAATATTCTAGCATATATTCTCTACACTTGTACTATTAGGGTTTGTTAGAGATATGTCTCATATAAATAGGAAAAGAGACAATCATGTAGGGCATGTAATATTAATTTGTAAGAACACACTTTGATAGAAAGATTCTGTCTCTCTTACTAAGATACAAACAACACCTTTTTACCAAGATTCTTGTCTATATTATTCCATACTTTCTACCAGATCCAAGAAGAAATCGAACATTCAAGGATCTGTCTGTCATTAATCATTGTCAAGAGGAATAACATCCATTTTTCCCTTTATTGGGTGAATCATTCCTTTATTTACTTGAATGCCATTTATTATTGTTCATTGTTATTTAATGCTCCATTATTACTCATGTTACCTGGAATGACTATTACACATCATTATTACATTTCTTTTTGATCTGTCCACATATCCACTCTTTCTTAACTCACATCTAGAAATATTATTGTTAACTAGTTTTAACCCTTCAACACATAAATTCAATTGTTTGAGCCAAGAGTTACACTTTTTGGTCAAACAATTGCAGAAGGATGGACATGCAACTTCAACATTTTAACTACATGAGGATCAATAAAAAAAAATGTAGATCCATTATCAATTTGTAGTCATTGAAATCTTTTTGGCATATCCCGGTAATTTGATAGTAGAGGTAGTCCCTCCAGCGAAACTTAGTCCCGTTACCACATTCAGAGAAACTTCAGCTTGTTCCTCTACAGGCTTTTCCAAGGTTTCAAGTACATCCAAAAATTCCTCCACCTCAGGTTCCACTTCAGCCGCTACTCCTTCCATAACATGAAGAGTTTTGGCCTTACATTGATGCGCAGGTTCATACTTCTCACGTCACTTATAGCGAAGTCCTTGTGCCCTAAGTGCCTCAAAACTCTTTGGTTTGTGGGGAGCTCTATTGGCAGGCTTCTGATTGGGGTAGGTGATTCCCAAAGGTTGGGTTGGTGCTGGAAGTTGTGCTGGTTGTTTTGGGTTTTGCTGTGCTTTTGGATAAGTGATGGCTAAAGGTCTAGGATAAGTGAGGTTTGGGCTGTTTCTGGTTGGTAAACGGGCAGTACGGACTGAGAATGACTCTTCATACAGCTTCGCAATTTCATACGCATCCATAATAGTCAGAGGATTTGCCAACTTTACAAATGGCTTTAGTTCAAGCTTCAAGCCACTAATAAAGCTGGAGACAAAGTGAGTCTCGTTTAACAATGAGTTGATGATAGTCATATAGCTGGTTAACTCCTCGAATCTCTTCTAGTACTGGTCGACACTCCCAACCTGCATCATTTTGTTAAATTCATCTACAATATCAAGTGGTCTAATATTACCAAACCTCTTATAAACCTCAACACAAAAATTCTGCCAAGAGACCCTTCCTCTGTGATTAACCAAGTAGCTATCAAACCAAATATCCACCATGTCTCCCACATGCATAGAAGCATAACTTAGTTCCTCTTGTTCGGAGATATTATAGAGGGTACATATTTTCACACTTTCGTATCCAACCTCTAGGATTAGTACCATCAAATTCAGTCATGACTAGAGAGTTATTAGCGGCATTGCCAATTTACACGTATAGACCTAGGTTGCGCGGACTCATCATTTGTGGTGTCGCACCCTTGGTGCCGCTCATGTATCCGTACCTTGATATGTACTCTCGAATCTTAAAATTTACAACATGAAAGAACCAATTTTTAAATCCGCACCCGTAATTCAGCTATTCGCACCTGAGCCCGAGCAACTTATTGAAGAACTAATGAATGAAGTTACAAAAATAAATTATGTGTCAAAATTAATAAATCAATGCTAGCATCATTTAAGCGATTACATGGCCGATTTACACCATCTCGTTTCTATAATAAACTAGTAATTTACTCGTGCAAACACACACGATTCAACTCATATTTATCAAAAACAATTTTAAACACGTGGTTTCTACACAAGAAAAGACAAATACAGATCCTTCTGCAAAATGAGGAAATTCCAGATCAAGCCCTTTTTAACCTGGTCTTTGCTTTAAAAAACATGCCAATTAGAAAAAAGGAATAGAATGAAAAAGACTGAAAAGAGTCTTTAAATCATGCTTCAAATAGAACCTGGACGTGATATAATTCTAAATGGCTAACTGGTGTATGCATATTACTCAAAAAAAGAAAAATTACTTAGTGTCAAAAAGAAAAGTCCCAGATAGACCACGTCTGTTAGTGTTTTTTCATAATATTTCGATCTTACATGTCTCAATGGACATAAGTTGGGAGCAAAACTCAAAAGAATCCTCGAATATTACTTGGTAAAACTGTTTCTCAAACTGTGATATGAATTCCTTAGGATCATCTATAAATCTAAATACCGAGGAGGAAGTGCCAGATAACCAAAAATTCATTTTGAGATAGCATCATTGATGTAAAAAATTGTTCTGATTCTTGTCTCCTCAATGAATGACATGCTAGCTGCTATGGTTCACATCTACTCAGCATTCAGGCAATTGTTGATTGCAGCAATGGCGTAAAAGGTGCCAAAATTCTTTAAAGCATTTTAGATAGAAGAACCCCTTCTTAAGAGTTTCTGGGGTTCCAAGTTCCAACATGGATATATCATCGCACTCAGACGAATAAGAGACAGCTGAGATGGCTTAGCCAAATGCTCGTGAGGGTACAGAATCGAGCTCTATACATTAAAGTTAGGCCTCTTTCTCCATCTCTACCTGAGAAAGTGCCAAATCTTCCTAGTTCCCTAAATGACATACTAAAACAAGGCTACAAGTACAGATAATAACATCAAGGCCTCACTGCAGACGGTATTGGAGCAGCGTTAACACACTGGCTACTATCACCGATTAAGAGTTCTCCGTATGGATAATGAGGAGGTTTAAATCTAGTAGAGTTGTCTGAATGCATGAGGAAGCCAGTCTATGCACCAGGAAGTGACTTCCAGTCACACGTCTTTTTGAAAAATTTGTTGCCTCTTTTTCGCATGCAAGTTCCCACAAGACCAGCTGAAAGAAGAGATTTAGTGTCTGGTCTCCACTGCAAATCTTTTAGAGCGGAGAACAAGGAAGAGAGTGCTGGAGTGATTTCACTATCCTTTATATTGCCACATGAAATCACCTTGAGGCTCTGGATTTCCTTCCACGTAAAGAGTACAGACTCAAGGCCTTCAGTTGTGAGTAGTGAACAGCTTTCCAGGCAAAGAGACTTCACTCTCCTGTTGAAATTAACACCAAAATGAAGCTGTGATACCCAAATTCCAACATAAGGTTATTACTTATTTAGCTGATTACTGCCCCTATTCACGGGAATGCAAAACAAACATGATGCTAAATTGCCAGTCTGAGCAAATTCAGTGTGTAAAAGTAAAACTGGACCCTTTATAATCCAAGATAACATACTGTCACATGATAAATCAAGCATCAATAATGAATTGAAACATAACTGTCATGTCATCAATATTATGTGCTTTCTCTTGTGCAAGATCAAAGGGTGTACTTTTGAGAAAAGGTAAGGGTATTTTAATACTTAATAGCTGAAGCACCAAGAAGTTGCAATTATTGCAAAAGCATAAAAAACCCGCCTTAAGACCAATATATCCTTAACACAAATGCCCTAAACATGCAAACACTATCCCTTCATTTAGATGTCTATTATATAAGATGGGTACAGTGGAAGCTACACTACAAATTCATTTTTTTAAGTTAGAAGACTGCATTTCCAAGTCAAAAGCCTAAAGACAACAAGTTGTATGTCAAAATGCACAACAAAATGCTATTGCAGCAGCAAAGTTTTTGACGACAGCAAGCAAAGTAAGCTAGAACAGGACAACCAATACCTTAGAACACTGGCAAGGCTGAACATTTCATTATCCAGTCCCCAACAGTTCTGGAAAATAACCTCTCTAACATCTTGACAGAGTAGAAACAATGTTCTCAAGCTCTCCTTATTTCTCAATTGGCATTTCTCCAAATGTAATCTTTCAAGCGTCGGGCAAGGTCCCACATCTTCGTCAAACCATCCACATTCATCGATACTCTTACAAGAGAGAAACCTCAAAGTCTTCATATTTTCACAATAGGAAAGAGCAGACAACCAACCACCTTCCATCCTATGATCACGAAGAATCAACTCTTCGAGCATTTGACAACATTGCGCTATAGCCTTAATCCCTTCATAGCTCCCTTCACAACCACTCAACTCCAGCTTCACCAATCTCTTACACCCCTGAGCTAAAATAGTCAGTCCAATATCAGTAACCGAAGATTTATAAAACCCATCGACATTTCCAATCAATTTCAATATCTGCAAGTTCTGGCATGCTGCAATCCCCCGAAGAACATGATCATTACATCTATGCAACTCTAATACTTGCAAAGTTGGACATTCCTCAGCTACACTCAACAATCCCAATTCACTAGCATTTACCACCAATAATCTACGCAAATTCGGACACCCACTAGCTAAAATTCTCAATCCCCTATCAATCTCATCAGAAGGCAACACAAATCTTTCCTTAAAAAACCAATCTTTAGGGTCACTATTAGAATCCACATGAGAGGAAAGCAACTCGTGAGAGCAAAAAATACCTGAATTTCCGGGTGAAATGAGCGACCCATTAACCAAATCAACATGAATAAGATTCGGAAAGCGAATAAAAACCCGACCCGAAACAAGAAAATCCCAATCAAGAAGCTTAATGGAGCGGACAAGACGACCTTGGAGGTAGAGCCAGCGTTTAGATACAAGGGAATTGGAATTCCTTTGGGAATTGGGAAGCTTAGAGAGAATGTAAAGAAGTGTTTCATCAGAAAGAAGGGAAGTTGGATCAGAGACGAGCGACGGAAGAGTGAAATCTAGGGATTTGCGAAGTTGATGTGGTGAAGGGGAGGATGAACGGGATTGAAGGTGCATAGTAAAAAGGACATGATTGAGAGCTTTTTTGTTCTTCAACCATAGATCAGTCCAGCTTGGAGATGGTGACCTGAAATTTGGTTTCTCAGGTGAACACGACATTGTTTTCTCTCACTCAGTCTTATATTTTTGTCTTGCACATTTTGTTGTCAGCTAAAGTTGTATTTGCGAAATTACTCGTTTCTGCTAAGATCTGTAATACTACCACTACTTCATCTTCCTATTCTCTTGATTTCCTGTGAAGTGTTAAGCGAAAAAGCTTCGATATTTGAGTCTAACGGACTTCTAAGAAGTGGGGTCGGGTCGAGGTATCCAAGAATTTGAATTTGGGTAAATGGGGCCCACCACAGGAATTTTGGGCATTTTTCCCGTTTGAGAATGGGCCACTTCTACAAATGGAGTACAAGTTTGGGGGCATTCCCTTGTCTTTAGCTAACAAGCTAAAGTCCAAGATAAGGCTCCTTTCACTTCTGCAGAATTTTCAAAGAAGAATGGTTTAAAGAGGAATTTTCAGAAACCAAATTGTTTTAGTCATTATTAGTTTGTTATAGTTTTTATTTACTAAATTATTTCTTATAACTATGCTTTCAGTTGTTATAGATTGTATTCGATATATTTTCGCTATTGTATTCATGAATACAGTAGCAAAACTCGGCGGAAAACAGGGGAGTCCAGCTAAGCATAGAATGATTCGACTGTATTCACGAGCTGTATTCGTAATACAGTAACGGAATTTGCGAAAAAAAAGTTTTCAGTTGTTTAAAAACGGTAAGTGAATCAATTAACGCGACACACTCCTAATTTAACTCACCAAACTCAATTATAACACACAAAATTTGTATTTCCAGTTATAGAAAAAATTCTCAACCGAAAAACACACCAAATTCAGAGAAATCTTCAGAGATTCAATCAATCCTTTCTTTTTTTAGTGGTATCTTTAGTAAAATATTTTTTAGTGGTATCTTTACAAATATATTTATATATTGAAATTATATAATTACATCGAACACAGTTAAATACATAAAAATACATTGAAACATGGAGTATAACATGTCATCTATAGTGCAAAAATATATGAATACATACTGCAGATACATTTGAATACATATATGCATCTGAATACATAAATTATATTAATTAAAAAACATATGAATACATTCATGAAATACAGCTAGACAGTGAATATAATGAAATACATGGAATACAACTAGATACATTGAAATACACTGGAAAAAAATTAGTGAATACAATGAAATACATGGAATACAACGAGATACATTGAAATACAATATAAAAAAAAAGGTAACAGACTCTTCAAGGCAAAACATATACTTCTTTTTTTCTTTTGCCGTTTTATTTTCGCATTCCTTCACCTTATCGAAATCTTCTTCTTATAATCTCGTAGAATGAATTTGAATTAGTTGGACCGTGAATTTTGAATAACGAGTAGTTAAGCAAAAAATTCACTTCTCTACTTTCCAATCAAAATGGCGTGAAAGATGATGGATCTTAGAGCTTTTCAACTTCAACTGTTTTAGATCGTCACGTTTGGAAACCAAATGGTTTTCTAATGTAATCATCACTACAGAAAAAGAAGAAGGTATCGTCGGCCGGATGAGGGGGTTAGGGGTGACACAACAAAGAAGGGGGAAGTGGTCGCCAGTCGGATCTGTCGTTGGCGGAACATAACCCCTGCTAGGGTTTCTAAAACCAGGGGAAGAGAAAACCGGGGGAAAAAGAGAAGAAAGAAGAAAGAGAAAGGAGGAGAGAGGGAAGAGAGAGGGAGAGAGAAAAATAATACACAGCGTATTTAATGGCTTAAAGGTAGGAAGTCGCCACAAATAGATATTTTGCTATAAAAAATAAAATGTAGCTATAGAAGATAATTTTTTAAAAGGGTATTTATTTATAACAAATAAGGTATCAACCTTTGCTATAGGAGGTAAAATTTCCTTGTCTAAATTCTCGGGAAAGAATTGATGAAGCCCGTGAGAGTTGTACTGAATTGAGAAAAGGCAGTAGTTGAGTTAGCTAATAAGTTTATATTATTATAATTTATACTCCCTCCGTTTAAAAAGATTGGTATTACTACCTTATTTGTTTATGTTTATTTCAAAAGATTAGTGCATTCCTATATTTCTTTAATGAGAAGTTTTATAACCACAAAAATATTACGTCTTTTTTAATACCATACACTTCAAAAGTTTTATAATTAAACAAATATTATGGCATATTTAAGATTATAAATTTTAGAAATCTTCATATGTTAATTAAATTTTGTGTCAAGTCAAATTACGATAAACAAATTGAAATGAAGAAAATAGTTGAGTCCATTTGTTTCTACGTAGAAGTTCCTCCTATTTTGTAATTTTTCGTTTTACACTTTAGTTTGGCCCTTCTTTCACGTTTTTGCTGCTGGAAAGGTCTATTTGTACTGAAGCGCATTAGCCATTTGGAATGCATCAATAATTTATCCTCCGGAAAAGGGCCTGATATATTTTTCTACTTTGTTTTATTGTTAAATCATATCCCCCGTTATATTTTCCATCCAGATTTACCTCTACCGTTCATCGAAGTTCTATATTTGCCCCTATTTTAACGGCTGGGACACGTGACACATTTTAAGAGAAAGAACCAACCCAACTCATAAATTAACAAACCCGACCCTTTCCCTTGCCCCGCCTGACCCTGTACCATTTTTAACTTTATTAATATTTTATCCCCACCGCAAAAAACTTATTTGACTCTAGAAACACGTCCATCTAAAAAACAGAAGGGAACAAAAAAATGGGTTCCAGCTAGGGTTTTCGACAGTGGAGAAAATTCTAGATCTAAGGCTCTAGAGTCACAAAGGTGTTTTCTGTTATGAATCAAGCACAGTCCAATGTCACACAAGGAACTATTGGGCCGAAAAGAGCTATTGGGTCGAGATCAGGCAATAGGGCCACGTTAATTTGGGATCCAGGCTGAATAGGGGTGTAAGAACGGTTCTATTAAAAGGATTAGTGGTCTGTGATTTGGGGGATTACGCGTATTGTGATGTTGAATATGTTCTCTCTCATCTCTGCTCTGTATCACTGATTCCCTCATCCCCTTCAATATTGGACTCTGTTTCTCACCTCTTTCTTCTTATTAGTTCTTCTCCTTGTAATTCTGTTTAGTAAGGGCAATACTACAAGTGAGTTTACTTATGTGCGAATTGGTTATTTTTAGTATTCATTACATTGGTGCTTTCATCCATCGGACTCCAATGGAGGTACTAGATCGATTTAGTGGCAGCGGCACCCCAGAGAGTTGACTTTTTCGGGCCGAGCGGTACTTCACTTACCTTGGATTCGCCGAGAAGGATTGGTTACCTCTTCCTTCCTTTTACCTTGATGGTGAAGCTCTTAATTGGTTTAATTGGTTGTTCCGGAACAAGCAATTTTTCAATTGGGCGCATTTCAAAGGGAAATTGGCTCAGCATTTTCGACAGCAAAACAAAACATTTTCGGTGAGGCGTCTCGCTGATTCCTCACAGGTTAGTTTTAACTACATTAATCCTGTCTCTATAGTGTCACAATCAGCTCTAGTGTCTCCCTTTCCTGCTCCAAGCCTTCTTCCGAATTCATCAGCATTTGAATCGGCCTATGAAAATGTAAACTCGAAGGCGGACCACATGTTCGATAAATTGCCAGTGCAGTTTGAAACTATAGATTCCTTGACATTGATTACTAGCAGTAATACTGAGACTGAAAATCCTGAAGATATAGAAGCACCTCAAATTGGGAATGCAACAACAGTAGAGGTAGGGGAATTCGTACAGGAACCTATTGTCACTATTGATGATCAGGCGTTCGACAAAATTTTACACGCCGCAGTGAGCTCAAGCATTCATGATCTAATGCTATTATCCACGAGGGAGACAACTTTGTTACTACAGTATCCAAGGTGTACGACGATAGCTTATGCGCAAATGACAGCTTCCAAACCAAGGTACATAGTGAGGTGTTTGATGATACGACCGGATCGAATACTGGGGAGGAAGAAAATTCACAAGATACTACTGTTGCTCAGTTGTTTGACAAATCTCGTCAATGGGATACATCAGATCTTCTAGTTTTTACTAGCCAAGGAATTGTGTTGTCGAATGCGAGTGTGAGATTTGCTGTAATAGAATTTCCATTTGACGGTACACTATGGTTTGGCACAACTCCATGTTTGCGTAATTCTCTTGAAGATATTGGTGGGGTTAATCAAAATCAGGTGTCACTTTACCTTGACTTTGACTCACGCAGATGCAGTTGGGTTGATACTGGGCAAGAACGCGATCTTCCTTTGTTGTCTAAATCGAGAGTGCATGCTATGGAGGAGCAAATACAAGGAGTGCTCCGGGCAATTGCTGAAAGTTGCTCTAAGCAATCACCAAGTATTCGGGTCCATAAAAATGTTAGACTCTTGTTTGTGATGTTTGGTCTAGCTCATAAAGAAAAGTCTATTTTGTTGTATATTATTTTTGATCCTGGTGGGGTTAATACTTCTCTTTGTGCGGCGAGTGAGCAACTGCGCATTCGACTAGTGTACGACCTTACTATAGAACATTATGAAGCCACACAACATTACATATCGCTTCAACCCACAGAAACTACAATTTCTGCCATGTTACATGAGTGGAATATATTAGAACTGAGAAGTGCATATAAAGTGAAGCTTCAAGCAGTGGAAAGTCTTGGTTACCCATTTTTTGGTGTCACTAAAAAGGTAGAGTTGGTTGCACACCATAGATTCCTTCATGGCTTAGGTGATGCATTAGTTTATGTTATCCTCTCACACAGGCGCGGGGATGCCGAACAGGTTGTAACTGAACTTAATTTGATAATGCTGAAGTGTTCTGCTGTAAATCGAAAACATCATGATTATAATTGGTTGATAGCAGGTGTAATAGAGAGAATTGGTAGAGAGCAAGCTTGTCAAACTATTTATCAGTACTTCATAGTCGATAATTCTAGTGTTGACAAGTCTGAACATATTAAGGGGTATTGTCTGTATTATATTTCAAGTGCTTTTGAAACTCTTTTCGATCCCTGCAGCATTCTTGATGGATTTCTCGGCTTCCAATTATCCGAGGTTATTTCCTACATTGTGGACTACCATGTGACTATTACGTTTGAGCATGTTCGGGAGCATCCACATGTTGCTTCCTTGTTGCATATCTAAGAGTTCGATGGAACTTATGGCAGAATGTTTGTAAATGATTCTGTAGATCAATACTTTAATGAATATAGGGAGACATTTGGTGGGGAATGCGCTACTTATATTGTTCTTGCCTCAAACCTTGACGACAAAATCCATATGAGTAAGAGACATCACAAGGTCCTTGAATTCGTA